GGCGGGGAGCGGCTGTGTTCTGGTCGCTGAGCAGTGCCCGGCACCAGCGGTCTGCGTGAAGCTGTGCACGCACCTTTAACTCGGCTTCCTCTTACCGTGTAGGTACTGCCACGTGAACGTGCCTGATGAGTTGTTGCGAGACCTACTTCCAGGACCTGTGACCCTGGTCTTAAAACGTTCAGAAGAACTAAATAAAGACTTGAACCCTTTTACATCGGTAGGTCTTCGCCACAGGATAGATCTCTGTGTTTTTGAGGGACTGCTATTTTTGTGCTTCTGCTGTAGTAGCTTTCATTCTTGCATGTTTAGCACACTTAGCAGTGATTGGTGTTTTCCTGAAGCTGGTCCCAGTGCTGTGATGCTCCCTGTGACGTATTTGAACAAGGCATAACCCAGCATTAGGGGCTACCTTATGAAGACATGTCTCTTGTTATTGCTAGTTCAGCGGGTGTTGATGTATTGAATTTCTAGAGCATCGGCTTTAAGTCAAGAGGCTTTAGGCAATGCAAGATGAAAAACGGTTGCTGCGTGTAAAATTATGCTCTCTTCTTCCTTTTAGCTGGTTGGTGTTCGTATTCCAAATCACCCTTTTATTAGGGAGTTGGCACGAGCTTGCTCTGGACCACTGGCTTTAACGAGTGCTAACATCAGCTGTCAGGCGAGCACACTGACAGTTACGGTAAGGCTGTTTTTGCTGCTCAGTGGCATTATTGTGGTAGTCCATCAGAGCCCCAAGCTCTCACAATTGGAAGTCATCTTCAGCAATAAAATAAGGATTTCTCTGCTGCTATTATCTCTAAAAAAAAATAATTGTAATCTCTAGTTAAAACAGCCTGCAGATATGTGGTGTGGGGTAGCTGTCTTGCTGTCGTCCTCACCTTAAAAAGCAAGGAGGAGAGCTGAAAAGTAATATTTAAAGGTTTATAAGCAGCTTTTGAAGTGTGAGCTAAATCTGAAAGATGGAAATTGCTATTGGAGGGATGGCTATGGAATGAGACTGCTGCTGTCTGTACAGCTCTTTGCAGCCTGGTAACTAACTGACACTCAAGGATACGTCTTTTTGCAAAGCTTTTGTGACCCTGGTGATGGTATAGCTGGGCACAGTCTCAGACAGTCACCCTGTCCTTGCCTCAAAATGTGTTGATAGACTTCTAGCTTTTTTTGTGCGCTCCTTAATAAAACAGTGATGCAGCTAAGAAGTCTTCAACCAGAGAATCCTCGTGGCTGTCCCACATGTCTGAGATAAATCTGTTCTCAGAAATCAAACTGGGATGTGCTCATGACAGAAAAAAAGTGAGCTGACCTGGCAGAGGAAGGGGAGAGACCACCTCCCTTGACACCAGAGCATCCAGTAATGTCTGTTAAAACACGATCACAAACCATCTTCAGGACTGTTAGCCACATCTCTTTTTTTCAGGAATTCCAAGACCTGTGGCCTCAGTTGTCCTTAATCATCGATGGAGGCCCAATAGGGGATGTCCAGAGCCCAGAGTGTCGTTTGGGGTCAACTGTGGTTGACTTATCTGTGTCAGGGAAATTCACCATCATTCGTCCTGGCTGGTGAGCACTCTTTGCTGAATATAACTGTAGCTTTTTCTTTACTTCTTTAAATTAAATGAAGCTTTCAGGTTAGAGTGGGTTGTCTTTTGCTTCTTTTCCCATAGCAGTTGATACTGCTTAATTACCAGCACGCTCAGAAAACCTGAGAGAGTGCTCCAAATTCTGAAGCTTCTATGTGAAACACTGTAGTTTCTGGAGTTCATGTTCTCCTTGATTCAAAATGCAGTAGTGTGCCTAGCTGATT